CGATGAGATTCCAGCGCCGCCCCCAGAATTCCCGCAGGGAGGTGGATCGCACCAGTGGTGCTTTGAAGGCCACCAAGCTGTCCACTCTCAGGATGGCGAGCACCAGGCGGTAGAGCAGCATGACTAAACCCATCATGCAGTAGACCATGCAGGTCTGCAAGTACAAAGCCGGCAGCGTTTTGGGCCACCCATACAACGGCAGACTGGTCAGGTACTCGTGCCCTTGCGCATAGGGCAACATGCCCGTTGCTCGGCCAATGCTGTTGACGACGAGGAACACCAGGACGTGAAATCCCGCCCGCAAGGCCAAGTCCGTGCACGCTGCAGTTCTGCTACTCAACCTCTTCACCTTGCCATCCTCGAACAAGATCTCAGCTGCATAGCCTGCACATTGAGGGAGTCAAAGTGGAACAGCTGTTGGTCAGATGCACATCGAGTCCGACTTCACTAGCAACGTATGTGTGTCTTGATGCACCACATTCGCTAAGAGCTTCCCAAGCGGCTGAAGTATGCTGCAAAAGTAAAACTGCTCGCCGCAGATCCTTTCGGACCTCTTCCCAAGACAAACCTTGCCAAGACCGCAGAAATATGCAGGAAGGCGTTTAGCAATAACATGCTGAGCATGTAGGACACCGCGCTTCTCAGCACGCATTTAAAGTTGCAGTCGCGCGACTCAACCCAGCGAAAGAAGCCAAGAACCGCATGGTAGCTCAAGACAAAAGCCGTGAGGCGGGACCTGCAGCATGATCGAGTGACTGGCTCTCATACACATCTGTTGCCTCGTCTAGCTTCCCTGATCTCGGGCATTCCACAGAAGAGCTCTGCAAAAGAACAAGGGCTCGTGCGAACCTCACCGGGTATGCCGACAGTGCGGCCTGAGCCACAAGCGCCGCTGCACCACCACCGCATTGCCAGAACCAACAAGAAAGGCGAGACAACGATCAGCTTGCATGGACTTCTCTCAAAGCTACCAACTACCAACCACAACTTGTTGCTGTGTCAGTTCCACCGACAACTGTACAATATTCAGTGGGAACGACAACATCTCAGTCGAAATTATTCCTGCTCCTACTGGTCCTGGAATGCATTCATATATTGGCTCCATCACCATGTGCTACTTCAGGCATCTGTCACCAGGGACACTTTACCTCTAGCGAAAACACCTAAGCCTGCACTGTTCTCTTCAAACTATTCAGCTGATCTGACCCCTCTCATCAGTATGGTCGCAGCTTTGGAAATTTGTCTGTGTGCCGCTCCCAGTCCTCTCTCTGCTACTTCTCCCAAATCCAGATGGATTAAAGAAACAGTGGGCCAAGGATCGAAAGGAAAACCTGCAGTGATCACCGCCATCGCAACAATCAGGATAGCTTTGCTGGCCTCGGACCAGTGGCATAGCTAAGTCCGGTTTCAGTTAAGACATCTCTCAACAAACGAAATGCTTCTTTTACCTGTTCGAATCTTCACGAGGCACGGGTGACCGGGACAGCTTTGTGAAGCTGGCATGGGCGGTCAGACCGATCAATGCATAAACGAGAGGGATCACCACAATCGCTATAGTCATCTCCTTTTTTGCCGGTGGGTTTGCATAGTCCAGTGAAGAGGCGAAGCTAGCTAGATAAACCTGCAAAACATCATGAAAATCAAACAGCTCCAGGCATCTCCGAATGTGGCGACATCACCCGTGTGTATGCGGATGCCAAGCATGGCCACGTCTATGCTTTGTGGCACCATGGCTCTTGGCGGCTATGGAAAGCGTTCTTGGTGCTCTACTTTGAGCGGGAACACAGGACGTCTAAATTTGCAACGGTTCATCCACTCGCTGGGGCGTACTTCTTCATGTTCATGCCGATTTCACGCATAGTTGTCGTTGTTTTCCAGAGGGGCGGCCAAAGGGCTGCCACTGACTGCATTTTAGAAAGCTTGACATGAACCACTCCGTGCTTGTGTTCGGGGCATCGGAAGATCGAGCCTCTTCTTTTCGTCCAGCTACCTGCCGGGTTTGTGCAAAGTTCCTTCGAGCGCAGATCCCAAAGCCTTTGCAGACCCGTGAAGGGCCGGTGAACCTAGGATGGGCAGCTCGGAACCTCGTGCATGTCTGGTGGGAAGAAAGGGCAGACTCCCGGCTTCGCCTGTTCCATGGAAGCATCTCGGAATCAAGCTTAGTTGAGGATGCAGGGCTACAGTTAACGGCCGAAGTCGTCTGAAAACAGTTATCTGTTTTCGACTCTTAAGCTCACACACTGCTAAAAAGAGAAGCGCTGAACTTTTGCAAAGCTTCGTGAAGATAAGTTCTCGGCCTGGGTTTGGGTCCAGGGCGGGCATTGCCGGGTTTGACATGCTAGGACCAGGCTTGCACAGCATTCACATGGATGGAACGCCCGCTTCAAGAGGAGATCCATCCTTCTAGCATCTTCTGGCAGACTTCCCAGAACCAGAGAGAAAGATAAACAAAAGAAAACTGCGGAAATCACCGCCAGCTTTGGGATTCCAACCCTGAGCTTGCCTTGAGAGTAGAATTCTCGAGAATGGGCTTTCTATACATATTTGTGCTCCATAAAGAGCCACGGAACTTCGCGCCGAGCCTTTGGCTCGGTAGTTTGGACTCCCACCCTCACTCGTGGGGGTTCAGGGGAGGTTACGGGTTTGCTTGTTGGACAGGTGGCGGATGGTGGAGTCGAGTCGGTTGGGATCCAGGCTTGTGCCCAGTCTGGACACTTCAAGAAGACACCTGTTGGGTGAAATTCTGGGCCAACAGTGTCCAGGCTCCCTTTGGGAAACGGAACATGATACAACAACATCTTCCGGCTCACTATCCTTGAAACGCCAAGGTTCCAGATGATGAGCCCTAGATGGAACCAGCGCTTTCACAATCAGCTTCCTACATCGTCCATCCTTGCTGTTTAAGGCTTGCTTGCCGTCCCCTGCCCTTTCTTCCAGGGCCTGGTGAGCACACGATGGCCGACGGCTGCAAGGCCAAGAGTCACAACTACAAACGCCCCGCCAGCGATCAGAGGCTCTTCAGGGATGGCTTGGTAGAGCGCCGATTGAAGGATGTGAGGAACTGCAGCGCTCATGGTGACTGCAGCGTACCCGATGCAGGTGGTAAGGATTCGAAGCAGGAGTGGGTTGGACTGGTGGATCGTCATCCAATGCGACACCCTGAACACAACGAAGTAATGCAGTGGCACGACCCACAGAAACCAAGCAATGGTCGTGATGAACTTGGAGGCTGCAAAGCTGTAGGCGCCGCCATGTGCCCGGGCCGCGACTGGATCAAGCTGACCCCAGAGGATGCAAGTTTGCACCCCAACCTCGATCAAACAAAGACACACTTGCACACATGACCACCCAAGGAAACTGAATACTGGTCACTCATTGGTAGAGAGCTTCCCTGCACGTGTACTTTGACCTACATGCCATCACAACCAGTGGCGACGAGTATTTGGCGACGTGCGCAAGCCTTCCGTGTCGAATTCTTCTGCCAGGCCTGGAATATCCACCCTCGAAAATACTTGTTGACACATGTCTGGGACGGTTGAAAATAGCTCCTGCTTTGATGGCCTACTGCTGTTGTATCTACTGCTCGGAACTTGCCTGCATCGAACTGCTTTGCAGCATGTTGCTCTATCGGACCACTTTTTGCATTGGTCAGAAGGCCCACATTTGTGATTGTAAGTAAGAAGCACAAGATTTCGAACAAGCTGACACGGTTGATTGAATCAGTGGCAACAGCAACGATCAAACTGTAAGTAGGGACACACTCACTCACAAGGTTTTCTGTTAGATAGGGTTGTCAGTTACATAAGGCTTTCCTAGTCGGTGGGCTTTTCTGTCGTAGTAGTAGTAGTAGTAGTAGTAGGCGCAGCGTTGGTTGCCGACGCCAGTGTGTTCTTCATTTGAGTGTGTCATTTCTCGAGTTTTGAGCTGCTATTACTTGTTGCCGGGGAGGAGGGGTGCCTTTTTTCTGCTTTGTCTGTGTCACGACTTGAAGACATGTTGATTGCTGTTATTTCTCGAGTATTGGCCTTTTTTTGATCGATGTGGGGGAAGTTCACGTTTTTTTTGCGGATAGTCTTTTTCTGTATTTTGGAGCCTCCCAGTTTGTACGCGTTGGACTTGGATTCTGTTATTTCTCGAGTCGTTGCTTGTTTTCTTTGGGCTCTTCCTTGTTACTTTGTGTTTTGACTGTGTGTGTTACGTGTTCGTTTAGTTTTGTTTTTACTTGGATGTCGACGATGGTGTGATGACGATGATGAGTCGGGAACCAACTGCCCCCCCCCACCAGCCGCAAGGCCACCCGCCCACCCAAGCCAAGCAGAGCCAAGCTAAGCCATTTATAATCAGAACTCCCTAGCAGCCAAGGCCCTCCTGGGAACCCTTGTCTAACAGCAAAGCCCAATTAAAAACCTCTTGCGCCCGGAAAATCCCGGGAAATCTGGCCCGGGGAATTTTTTAATTGGCACCCTATTTATGAGAACGACGCGTGCATTAGTGCCTCTTGTTATGCACCAAGGCCGCCAGGAGGACTCGCTTCATTTGCATTGCCACCTTGCAAGCTTCCTACGTGCTCCTGGTTCTACAGTGTTGCGATTTAGATGCTAAGGAACAGCCAGACACACCAAAACATATGGCCACAGTGTCCTAAGCTGCCCCTCTTCAACATGATCATCATGACCTTGGGATGTGCGATAGCCTGACCCCATAGTCCTCGGAACAGCAAGCACCTTTGCGAGTAGCCTGCTGGCATGAGTCACCTTGCGTCGGCGAGCAATGGAATGATGGGAGCGCGGCAGTGATGGAAGGCAGTGCGCTTGTGCAAAAGTAGAGTGTATCGCTATAAACAAGTCGCCCAACGCCAACCTTTCCATTTGTAAGTTTTCTGTCTGCTCCAGCAAAATCCTAGAGACTGGAAAGCCTGCGACAGGCATTCGGAAGCAAGTCGGATCAGAGACAGATGCAGCCTTTGAAGCGCTGCAGCTGGAAATTGCTGCCCGACTAACATGGTGGCTATGCGCTTGACGCAGGGTCTTGCTTTGGCACATGTGATTCACATCTACAAGGAATGCTTTTTCGAAAGCGCTGTCAGCAAGCTGAAGCTGCTCAAGATTGCGATGGAGACGGAAGCGAAAAAGCCCACGGTGACTTACCTGACTCTACCCACGCGGCATTGTGAGCATGTGTTTCGCCCCTGCAGTTTTGGAAAACAGCCCTGAGCCAGACACCACATTGCTCTTGCAGTTGTGTTTGTCCTATGCTGTGTGTCATATTCATTTCGATCAAATTTCACGTCAATTCATGTGTATCCAGTCCGACAAACCATGCATCGCTACATATTTAAGGTCAAATGCAGTATCAGCTATCAACAACTCCACGACCCCCCAGTTAAGCGCTGTTTCGAGAGTTCCACTTTAGTGGCAGTGTAAACCGCTGCCAAGGTAACCCAGGAGGAGGAGTTCACCGGCGCCGATGATGCAGCTGCAGTTGCCCGCGAGCCTGGGAACTTAGATCTTGAGATTCATGCCTACGAAGTACTTTCTGCAGCTTTGGTCTGTCTCACTGCTTCGGAGATTCTGCAGCTCACCATACAAGAAGGCTTGCATGCAGAAACCGGAACGGACAGGCGGAGTAGAGTAGGTCTGAGTAGGTGGAGCTGGGCTCGAAGTCTCGAGGCACAAGTTCCGGGGAGCTTCGCTGACCAGCTTCCGAGGCCCTTTGCTCTTCAGGAGTACTGGAGCGCCCGTGCCGAGAAGCAGGAAGGAGCCCAAGGCGGCGCAAGCAGGCACAGACAGATGACAGCAGCTTTCGTTTCTGTCGGATAGTATCTGCTTTGCAGACGCTTCGTGGGATACTCGGGTGCGAAGAAGGGTGTGGAAATCCGGCTCCATGGAAGGCTGGGCATGTCGGATGAAGCTGCTTGCTTTTGCTTGTCATCGCATCCCGCAGATGTCATCTTTGCGTTGTGTCTTGTGTGTCAAAGGGACGAAGACATGTTCATTGCGTGCTAGCTCGCAGTCGGACAGGTGGATGGAGCTTTCCACACAGACCGTTGGCGACGAGGACAGTAACATTCAAAAGTCGATGTTGCTTGGATTGCTCGACGCCGCCAGTACATGCAGACACAGTCCAAGCCCTTGTTCGCAACAAGTGGGCGCCATGCGCAAGGTTCCTCTCACTGACGGCTTCGCGAAAGCTTTCTGAGAGGATCAATTCGAGACTCAGTTAGAGAAGCCCTTTTGGGCTCGGGAGGGCACTTGCCGTGGGCGATGGCTGTTTAAGTTTATGTGCTTGACCAAGGAAATTGTTCAGCAGCTCCTTCCATCCGGGCAGCATGTTTCGGCTTGGCTGGGATATATTTGGAGGTTTCCTCTTGCTTTGTGATGCTGTACTTTCACCGATCAACCTGGCATGGGAGTTGGACGTGGGCAGTCACAACGTCCTTGCTGTGCCACTCGGCAAAAGGATTGAGTCTTTCAGCTGCTAGATAGGCCACCAAACCGGACGATTTTCCAGGTTGTGGACGCTCTCGTTCTGGACAAGTTTCATCTTCTGGTCCGCAGACATCCTTGTCAACTTCAACACCGCGGTCTACCACCACGGCCGGTTGGAAACTTCAAAGGCCGTAATAGCTTCGCACTACTTTCGTGGCTGGTTCCTGATCGACGTCGGCTTGGTGACTCTGGACTGGGTCATAGGCGTTCGGTCGCCGACCAATACAGGCCCTAAGCCTAGTTGTTCAAGACCGCATGCGATGATGCTGTGTTGCATCGGACGAATGTATCACGAACATCAGCAACCACCTAGGGCGATTGGAACATGTCGTCATACCGAAGGCTGGAAACATGGCCTGTGTGGTGTTCGCTGCTTCGTAAAATGTTCGTATCGCTTTTTGAGCTTCCTGTGTAACACATGTGCCACAGCAATTGCCGGCTTTGCGTCGCCCGAACCTTTGGAATTTTGGCCGTTGAGAGACTACGTCCTCCGCAGAGCGCGGCGGGCCGGGGTGCTGAATGTGTCCCCGACGCCGTCGTTCTGTCGACTCCGACGAACCCGGGGCGATGCGCTGTCATACTGTTCAAAAAGAGGTTTCGGTCGTCGTTGCCTTTTGGAGTTTCGTCGGTGTCGCTTCAGCCCTCATATCCATCGAGCACCGGGTACATCGGAACGACGTGCTAGCTCGGAGTGGGGGCAGCCAAGGCTCGCCAGCTTGCAAGAATTCGAGGTAATGTTTGGTCTCTGAAATTTTTGGTCCTAAGGTGAGCTCTCCAGCCTGCGGTCTTTGCGGGTGATCCGAGCATTGCGCCTGCTGCGCCTGCTGAAGGCCCAGATCTCCTCACTTCGAGACATCCAGCAAAAAGAGAGATGATGTTGTTACCCGTCTGTAACATGTCTGCCCTGCACCGGCCAGGCAGGCAGGTTGCGCGACATTCTTCAGGAGCTGGTTGCAAGTACTGGTGCTTCCGCGACAAGATTGAGTAATTTTGTATTTTCAGTTTTCAACTCTTTACAGCTGTAGTCAAAGAACCGCTTGTGCTGCTTGAATCTTCGTCGGATGCGAATCAATCGGTTTTGACGGCTGTGGCTTGGGTGGCTTACAGTACTGTCTTCCAAGCGTTTTTGTCCACGACTGCTGCGCAATTGCTTCAGACACTAGCCGCTGCGAAAAAGTCCGTGCAGCATCTCAGAAGCCATAGCATTGGCGCAGTATCAGCAGTGTGGCAGCGGTGTAGTCCTCGTAGTGGTAGTGGCAAGGGCCGCGGCAGTGGCAGTGATCGTGTCGTGTCGTGGTCGACGCCGTCGTCGTCGTCGTCGTAGTAGCTGCGCTGTAGCGAGAGGAGTGGTTGCAGGGTAGGCGTGCCAGTAGTAGTAGGGTGGCAGTGGCAGTGGTACTGGTAGTCGTAGTCGTGGTCGCAGTAGTGGTCATAGTAGTGCAGCAGTAGCAGCAGTAAGTGGTTCTGGTCCTGGTGGTGCTAGTGGTGGTAGTGGTAGCAGCAACAGCAGCCACAAACATTCAAGTTTTGTCGATGATTCAGGGTATTGATCAATGCAAGTGTTGTTTGGTGAGCATCAGGTTGACTGCTTGCTGCTTATGTTTCTTGGATCTTCTATTGTCAGCTCACCAGGAGCTACTACTGTACCAACAACAGTTGGCACGAGGTTTCGTGCCCCCAAGGATTACGTTACGTGTCGTCAGTAAACATTATCAGAAAGGTGTATCTGTCCAGGCCGGAATGTTGGCAGTGCTGCGAAACGATTTGTTGCGTCATCTCTGCAGGTAGAGTTTGAACTGGAGCCACTCCAATCAGTAAAGCAGTACCTCTGGTGGAGCACCACTGTGGCTTCAAGCTGCTGACCAGCCCAGGCCGCCAGTCCATTCTGTTCTACTGCGGCATATTCAACACCGCAGTGCTGATCAGTTTGGTTTGCCATTTGCTGGCATGTTTCTGGTTTGGTATCGGTCGAGCTTCTCATGTACGAGGCCAGATTTCTTGAGTCGGACGGTTGGTTTTCATCGTTGGTCCTGGGGATATTTTGCGATTGCTTGAGGTTGCACAATTCCGACAGCGCATCCGCCACAGTCGAAGCCCGAATCATGTCCAAATCCAAGTGGCCTGCCCGCAGGTGAAGAGTCGTGGCTGCAAATAATGGAACTGCTGGAACAAGATGGAGTTGACCAAATCACGCAGTATTTGCACTCTCTCCGCTATGCCGCTTGCCTTTGTTCCGATGATCGCTTTCAGGTATACGTTTCACAGTGGTTGTTCGGCTAGTCTGCTCAAGAGCATGAGTTCAGTCATTCTAGTATGAGACACACTCCTTCGAACCGTAAGCTGATATGCAGGTAATTGGAGCTCCCTCGCCGCCAATGGTAGCGCCGACCAACACGGTGGAAATATTATCCGACATCGCAATCTACGGTTCAGGTCTGATGGTCTTGGGTACTGCCGTATCGAAGATTTCTAACACGCTGGCTGAGCTGCGTGCGATGAACGAGGAACACGATCGGCAGCGCAGGGAAATCCGAATGTATCTAACAAGTCAGAGTGCGCCTTTCGAACTTGTCTCCCGCATCATGAAGTTTGTGGACTACAGACTGGACAAGCGCCTCGGCCGGTCGCCAGAAAATCTTTGGAACAGTCCGGAACTCATGCAGCACTCGCAGTCCACCGTATCCAAAAGTGATGCCAGGATGGCCATTCAGAGCTTCGACCAGACTCTGATTTCCAAGACTCTCCAAACCGAGCTCTACGTGAATCAAAGGAGTCCATACCTGGTCCAGCTGCCCATTTTCGCACTTTGCCAGGCTGTGTTCACAGACGTGTTTGCCGACATTTGCGCAGTGATGCAGAAGAGAGTCTTTGAGAAGAAAGAGACTGTGTTTGCACACGGCTCTTGGGCGACCGTGATGGAAATTACGGCCAGCGGTGGCAACCTCAGTCGGACAGCCAATGCAGTACCGGTTAACGCATGCTGCCAGCAGTGGCCGACTTGCCAGCTTGACAACCTGAGGCTCCTACTCCTTCATTCAGCCTGGCCAAGTGCCTTTGATCATCAACACTACCGAATGCTTCCAAGAGGCGTGTCTCTACACCGTTTCTCGGCATCTTTGCGCCGTTGCAGGCCGCAAGGCCGTTGAAAGGGTCAGAGCGACGAGTGGCGAGTTCTGATTTCGTCCGGCAGCACCCGAGGAAGGCTTGACACACGCCAGCACATTGTTGTGCAAGACTTTTGCTGAGACGCTGTCTTTGGCTGGTGAAGATGCCAATCTCAACTGGAAGGTCTTTCGTGTTTTGCTTTGTTTTGAATTTCTTCTAGTACCATGGCGTTTTGCTTGTCCCGTCCTGTCCAGGTAAAGCAGTGTAGGCTAGGCACCAGCTGAGGACCTGGTGTTGTGCCTGAGGAGCTCACCAAGTATCACAGCAGCATTGCACCGCAGTTTCAAGGTTCGCGATGTGTTGCTTCTCAAGCATGGGTCGTGATTGGAAGTTCTGGTTTTGGGCTTCCGAGGTTCGTGCCGCATGTTTATCGAATACGCGCGAGAATTTGTCCAATACCTGCAGAAAAGCCGGCAACCTCTCAACCACGAGACGCAGGCAGGCCCACGTAGCTTGCGATAGCTTGTAAGATGGTTTTTGCGACGAACCAATCACCGGAAGAGGCTGCAGTGCAGTGTCAAGCGCAGGTTCGAGCTGCAGAGCTCGCGACGTTGCGCAACGAATATTATCAGGACTGCCGATCAGTTGGGTTGTGATCGCGCGCCTGCTGGTATTGTGCCCTTGCGCAGACGAGGAGCTTTACCCAGATCCCCGAAAGATGTTTGACAACATGGATACAGCGGCGGCGTATCAAGGATCGACCGGGGTGTCATGCGGATATGAGAAGATATTCAGTTTGGTCATGTGTCGGTGATCTTCAACTGTTGCATGCCAATTTAAGGTTTAGGTCGGAAAAGCCACCGTTCGTTTGGAACTGTTCGTCTCTAGTTACAGGGCGTGTTTCGTCGTTCTGCAAGTCTGTCAAGCCTGGGCAGTTCCATTAAATAAAGTACGATGGCTTGGTGCTGCAAAGTACCCAAGACAGCTTTCACGCGAATTTCCGTCTTCAGCCGAATCCCCTGCAGATCCCGAGCAAGGGTCGGACTTGTCCGGGGAGGACCTGGAGACCTTTCAATCCGAGGCCCTGTGCACGCGGTGTTGTGGATGTTAGATGGCCTTGGGCTGTTTCGATGCTCTGAAACAGGTAGAGCTGGCGGCCATGGTTCAAAGAGCCGGCAGCCATCGGACGAGTCGAATGGATGCCAATAACTGGCTCCGACAGCAGCAAGATTCCATGCACCTCCAGATCTTGGAAGACAAGCTGGTCCCGGGCCCAATGACGACGGGAGGGTTTTCCTACGAATGATACTGTAGATGCTGAGAGAGGATGTATGACAGTGTTTTGATCTTTATTTCTTCATTAGGCACGATGCTCTTCGCATGCGTGTGCGTGTGCGCAAAGAAACGAACACATCAACTCCAACCGCATGTATGTATGTATGATGATGTATGTGCGGTTATATATGTATGGCTATGTCTCACTATGTATGGATGGATGGGTGTATGCATGTATGCGTATGCGGGTTCGCCCTCCCTTCCAAGATCGATCCCTGGCTCTTTTTTTTGCCTTAACTGTCAGCTTATTGAACGGGAATAAGAAGGAAGGTGCTCTATATCCTTATACGAGACGAGACAGGGTAATTGTTCTAAGGCCCTCTTTTCTTCATCGGAGACCGCACGAAACTGCTCTGATCGACCCCTTTAAGACACAAGCAAATCTACACGTTGGTATCTCCTAAACCCTACACTGAAGCACAAGACAAGCTGTAGCACTGAACACCTTGTCTCTTCCTGGACAGCAGGTTAGTAGAGAGCATAGGGGAGCTGGCCCATATTTTGGAGAAAGACAAGGAAAGCGAGCTTCTTTATTTGGTTGAGCCGCTTGATCTGTCACAAAGCAGTTCCTGACTCGTAATGGAAAGCGCCTTGCTCTGTTTTGGTCCCCGGAGAGATAGAAGAGAGCTCTCCCTCCCCATTCGTAGTCTTCATCTGTGTGCCTTCAACAAATTCCTTGGTTCCGTCTGCGGAAAGAAGAGTTTGTGTATTCTACCGACAAGGAGCAACACAAGCTCGGTGGTGTAACGTTTATAGCGAGATATGTTATATCAAGCATCAGAGACGAGAGCTTCTGTTTCACGAGCACAAGCTGCACGGACAGTCCAGCACTTCAGGATTCTGGCCTCAACAGTGCTGAACTCTTCGTAAATTTTGCACTCCCTGTCCAGGCTCAGTTTTTTTGTTGGGAGAGGTGCGAGCTTCTACTCAATATGTGTGTATGTATGTATGTATGTATGTATGTATGTATGTATGCCTGCATGTCCGTATGTCTGTATGTCTGTCTG